ACCCCCTTCTCGCCCCTCCAGTAGGGAATTTCCCAGAATGTTCCCACACCCCCATGAAGCCTCTTGCTTAGCCACCCCCAAGCTGTTTGTGGTTCATGATAGGAGTGGCATCAAGTAATAAGCCCACAGATGAGGGCGAATTGTTAACGTTAGCATCTGGATTCACATGAAGCAGCAAAGAGGGAAGATGAAATTGGAAAGCCAGCAGGGCTGAGGCCTCACAGGGGATAATTACCAAATATCATAAGATTTAAACAGACTTCAAAGGCAAGACAGGATGGTGGGTGCAGACTCTGAAGCCAGACTGCCTCAATTCGAGCACGGGTGCTGCAACTTACAAGCTGTGTGACCTTGAACAAGTCACTTAACTTCTCTGTGCCTTAGTCTTTCCTCCTCTGTAAAATGTGGATAATAATATATCTACCACATAGGGTTGTTGCAAAGATTAAATATCATGATAACTGAAAAATACTTAAAAGAGTGACTGGCACATGGTAGCATTCAGTAAATGCTTGTTATTATTAAGTCAAGCTAGATTATTTTAGCTACATTATTTTATTTTAAAAATTTGGCTTCTACTAATATTTCTCATATAAATTGAGCGTACATCCTCTGCCCCAAACACACACACACACACACACACACACCCTTCCCAATAGGTGGAGGTTAGAGGTTCTAGTTTGCTAAAACACTCTGATAGTCAGTTTGGAATCTGAAATAGCTGAGAGCTGGAGAGGGCTTGGAGATCTTCTAAGCCTGTGGTTTTCAACACACGCTGCACGTTAGAATCCCCTGGGGAGCCTTCAACAACCCAATGCCCAGGCTGCACCCCAGATGGATTAAATCAGAATCAGGCATTAGTGTTGTTAAAGCTCCTCAGCGCATCCTACTGACCCCAGTGTGTGGCAGAGGTTGAGAATCATTGTTTGGTCCAGTCTTCCTGTTTGAAAGGGAGGCAACTGGGGCTCAGAGAGGGAAAGCAAGTCACTGAGGGTCACCCAGCCAGGACCAGGACCCAGGACCCCTGACCCCAGTTACTGCTGATTATGCCCACCGTTGTCATGTATTCTCGCTCTGCATCTGGAGGAAGGTCTGGCCGAGTTAGCCCGCTAACAGAGCGGCTGGACAGGAGATCCTCGCCCCTCTCAGGGCAGGGGGCAGATGATCCGCTCTCTGGTTGGAAGAATATGACCGACTCAGGGCTCTTGTACCGTGTTGTGTTGAGGGATCACCCAAACCAAGACCCAGTTGTCCCTTGGGAGACCGCAGGGCAGCCGAGGACTTCTTAGTGAGCTCTGGAGACCTTTGGTCACCTGCGTGGCCAGTCCCCCAGGAGAAGCAGTTGGGTGTGCTGGACGCAGCACAGGGCAGAGAACGGGGAAGCCCCAAGCCAAGCCCTGCTCGGGCCCCTACGTGGTTATGGGGCTTCAGACCAATCACTCACTCACTCAGAGTTTCTGGACCTCTGAGAAAATAAGTGTCTGGAGGAGAATCCTATTGCCCTTTCTCCCTGCAGCTGCTGCCACCAGCCTGTGGTCATTTGGGGGAATATGCGGAGTAGGTTTGTCCCAGGTCTCAGTTGGCTTGATCTGTAAAGTGGGGGTAATGAGAACAGCTGGCCTTCTGTATCCACCCCAGCGGGCTCTTGTGGGGAGCCTGAAGGCCCTCGATGAATTCTAAAAAGTAGAAGGCAGATCACGTGGGAGCCCGAAGGCAGGCTCACCCCTCCCCCACCGTCGCATGCGTGTTAGAAGCTGAAACGTACACGTCCCAAACATTCCTTTCCTCTTCGCTCTCACTGAGTTCTAGGTTTCCAGCCCCCACTGGAAAGTTAGGGGGAAGTTAGAGGACGTGATCGTTGTACCTCTGGGTAGACAGCAGCTCCCGTGGCTGCCCTTGCCACGTGTCCCTGTGAGCCCTTCCCAGGGCGTGACTGCACAGGGAGGTTCAGAGCGGACCGAGCAGCGGCAGGTGGGGATGTGGAGGGATGAGGCCCCAGATCAGCCACTTCCTCCTGCAAGGGAAGTCGAACTCTTCCTCCTGCATGCGTCTGGCGGGCTGCAGGCCCCTGGGCTGGCAGGGCTGCTTTCTCTGGGGCCCTCGCAGGAAGCAGTCTTGCTTCCCAAGGTACAGACAAGTTTCTTGTCACAAGTGGTGGCTTTCTGATTAGAGGCGGCCGCGGTTATGAACCGCCTCCTAGAGCTCTGGGATCTGCAGGCAGGGGGGCGGACGCAGGGAGACGAGAAAGCAGCCAGCGAGCGCTCAGCGCAGCTTGCGCCGGGAGGAGGAACCTGCTGTCACTTCCCGAAAGCTGGGCCTGCCTCTGGGCGGGGAGAAGGTCAGAGCAGTTCGTCCCTGCAGCCCGCCCACCCTGCCCCTCCCTGAGCCTCGGGGTTTGCCCAGGCTCTTCGGAGCACAAAATTTACGGTAAATGTTGTCACCAGTGGAAACTCTCAGAGGGGGCGAGGAAAAGAGCTAGAGGAAGGGGCCAGGACTCCCGGTCCCCAGTTCCCGTCTTACCGACACCCCCCGGCTCATGTGTGGCTTTATCTCACCTTTCGGTAAAGAGGGGATGCCCTCCCTCTGGGATGTGCCCGGAAACAACCAATGGTAAGATCAATGAGCCAGCCACCCTTTGCAGAAGCAGCAGCCAGGGGCTCCGACTCCACCAGCATGGCTCTTGGTGTCCCACACGCAGCAGCCCATTTTAGAGATCGGGCTTTCCTTCGCACAGACCTAGGCACATTTTCTAGCTTGGAGCCTCATGCAGGAAGTGCCAGGCTGAGGCTGAGCATGCTGGCATCTGTCCTTCAGAAATGGATGGAAACGGGCTCGATGGGTTCATAGCTCCTCTTTTTTAAGAGGACCCCCATTGGGGCCGGCCTGGTGGCGTAGTTGTTAAGTTGCGCACTCCACTCCAGCAGCCCGGGGTTCGGGGGTTTGGATCCCGAGTGCGGACTTACATACCATTCATCACACCATGCTGCAGCAGCATCCCACATACAAAATAGAGGAAGACTGGCACAGATGTTAGCTCAGTAACAATCTTCCTCACCAAAAAAAGAGAGAAAAGAACCCGCATTGTATATATATATACACCACATCTTCTTTATCCATTCAAAAAGACAAAAGTGTGCCATTTATGACAACATATACTCAACAATACTTGAGGGTATTATGCTGAGTGAAATAAGTCAGACAGAGAAAAACAAACTCTGTATGATTTCACTCATATGTGGAAGATAAACAAACACATAGAAAAGGAGAACAGATTGGTGGTTACCAGAGGGGGAGGGGGTGCAGGGAGGGCAAAAGGGGTAAAGGGGCATGTGTGTACGGTGATGGATAAAAATTGGACTGCTGATGATGAACATGATGCAGTCTATACAGAAACTGAAATACAGTCATGTGCACCTGAAATTTACACACTGTTATAAGCCAAGATGACCTCAATAAAATAATTTAAAAAAAAAGAACATCCCAGGTGCATTTGTTAGGGTAATTAGCAGTGTAACTAGCTCTTTCATTAGCCTGCAGCTCATGTTCCTGATGGACGACTTAAGGCAAATTTTAAATGTCTAGTTATCTTATATCTGCTCACTGCCCCCCATAATTTTGAGTCAACTTCTAGCCCAGCCGTTGATGTCATCAACTAGTCAATCAACAAACATTTGAGTTCCTACTATGTGCCAGGCACTTAATAAGTCCTTGAATGATTAAAATAAATTTAATATCCTATTTAACTAGTGTTTTCAAACTTGCCTGATCATTAGAATGACCTGGGGCACTTGGTGAAAATTCAGATTCCTAGAATTCACCCCAAATCCCAAACCCACTGAGTTCAAACCTCTAGATTTCAGCAACAGCCTGAAACTATATTTGTAATAAGCCCTCAAATTAATACAAATGATATGGCAAGTTTTGGAAATGCTGACCTAAATCAAACAGAACTAGAAAAGGAAGACCTGGACTCCAAATATCAGGTTGCTTTTTGGACTGAAAGGTGATTTATTTGCATCTCCAGGGCCATTTCCCCTTCCTCTCTGGGCACTAACTTGTATCGGAGAAAGTCAGTTTGATTGAGTCAAGGAATGTGAACCTTAAAATGCAATTCCCCCAGGGTTTTCTGAAGGCGCAATTGTTTTCCGGTATATGTTAATTGCTGGAGGGTAACTGGTGATTAATTAATGATGTGATCAGTACCCAGCACTCTTTGCCCTCAGTTTTCCTGATCAGCAGGTATCTGATGGTTCCCTTAAGCAATTGGGGGAAGATGTTTCTGGAAAAAAGGAAGCACATGTGATTGGGACACGCCCAGAGTACAGTAAAACAGGCAGAATGGAGTGGAGTCGGACACTGGGGTGGATTTTGACCGTTTAATATTTATCAAGACCCTAAAGTGTTTTAGAATCTGGGTGAAGTAGACAATTACAATAAGCATGGCCTCTGTCTGTAAGACTAAGTGCAAAGCTTGGGGAGACCTGGAGAGCACCTGTGACAGAGTGGAAATCAGCGTGAGATGTTCTCCCTCACCGGTTCCCATTTTCTCAGGCTCCAGCCTGCCCGCCAATTGCCCTTGACATACGCCTGCCCCTCTCAGCCTACCTACACCCTCTCAGGGACCCCTGTACATGTGCACACACAGAAGGGCACACGCACACACAGATTCACACATACACTTCTGTTAGATGGAACCATATGAAACTGCCATTCTTATAGGTCAAAATAGGCAGATATCAGCAATTTCATTTGGCTCAACCTAATATCTATGCACATATATGTTCATATATACATGTGCTTATTTAGATGCCCCCATACACACACATGACGCTGACAAATATATATGCACACGTGCACACACTCACATGCGCGGAAAAATTCACCCATGCCGTTCTGCATGGCTGTGTTAGTGAAAACCTAATATGGACTCCTCCTGCTCCCCCACCCCCAATCTTGCTGTCTTCCCTGAACTTAATGTCCAATGCCGGTCCCCCCCACAGGAGAGCGAAGACCTGGAGAAACAGAACGCGGCCCTGCGCAAAGAGATCAAGCAGCTCACAGAGGAGATGAAGTACTTCACATCAGTGCTGAGCAGCCACGAGCCCCTGTGCTCAGTGCTGGCCACGGGCACGCCCTCACCCCCCGAGGTGGTGTACAGCACCCATGCCTTCCACCAGCCTCACGTCAGCTCCCCGCGCTTCCAGCCCTGAGCTCCCAGAGGTGGGGGAGAGCGGAGCCCCCCACCCCCAGCTGCTCCGGCAGGCCTCAGGAGGGGCACACAGACTGTGGCCAGGCTGCCCTCGTCCCTCGGAGCCCTCTCTCCAGCTGGAGACCGGAGGCAGAGGCCTGGACAAGGATTGAGCACAGGACCGTAGCAGCTGGAAGAGTGTGAGACCTCCCAGCAGTGAGGCAGCCCGTCGGTGTGTGCTGGACCCTATGTGGGTGGGAGGCCCCATCCAGAGTTGTACCAAGCATAATGCCCGAGTCCCGTGGCAGAGGGAGGAGGGCAGGAAAGTGTTATTTTTCTAAATAAATGTCTTAAAAAGAAGCCAATTTCCTCTTTTACACTGTCCCTTGAAACCCTAAACTCTGTGGGGTTGGGCCTTCTTTCATTATTGGCCTCAAGAGCCCTTAAACCTCTAACAGCTCTGCTTTTCCAGAGTTTGTTATCAGCTTGGGAAGCTGGGTATATTCACAGCATCTTCAGTCATCCCTCTAGGCATCTTCTTGATTTTCCTCCCAAATCCTCTCTCCATGACCTCCCACCTTCCAGTCCTCTTTGCCTGGTGCTGTCTGGACTGTCAGCGGGTCATTTTCTGACAGGGCGAAGGACCAGGGCAAGATGTGTTCAGGGGAATGGGCATTCAGGTTGACACCGCCATCTCGCACTTACACAACCACACTTACTCAGCTCCACACAGACAGCCTGCTCTGTGCTGCCGTGTGCCAGGCCCTGAGCAAGGTGATCTAGGAATACAGGGTGACACCACACAGGTAAGGCAGCCCTTTCCTCGTGCTCTCATGGGGCAGCACGAGCCTTCGGGACACGGGGACTTTCCAGCCAAAGCGTCTCCATGTCCGACTGAGGACGCCACCTCCCCTCGGGAAGCTGTGATAAAGGTTGCCTGTCTCCATGAGGCTCTGCAGGCTGCCATCCTGGGCACAGCTGGAGGGCAGCAGTGGCTCAGGTGGCACAGAGTTGTCTTCAGGACTTCAAGTTCATCAGTTTGGGCAGAGCCTGAAACCAGCATGTTCTGGTTCCCCCACTCCGATGTCCACCTGTTCATCAGAGATCCGCAGGCCGAGTGCCTACTGACCTGCACGCACAGCCACACCACCGCCCAAGAGCAACGGCAGGTCCTGCCCACACACACAGCCCCTGCTGAGCCAGCTGGGGACAAAAGCGATAGACATCTGATTTAGCTCCTTCGGCAGCCACCCTCAGTCTCATCTGTTGGTCCTTCGGAGGGACTACCACTGCCCGCTGGCCCCCAGCTGGCAGCCATCTTGGGATGTGGTGACCACAGGGGAAAGAGAGGCGCAGGCCTGTTCCCCGGTGCCAGCACCTCCTCCACCTGTGGCTACCAGCCATGCTTAGTTGAGGCAAGGTCTCAATTCTGGTGCTCCCCACCCAAGTCTCTCCCACTCCGCTGGGGTTATGCCAGTCGGGTTAGCATGATTACTAAACCCTGCAGAGTCTGGGAAAGCTGGGTCCTAGCGTGTGGTCACCTGGCCTCCTAGAGACCTGTCTGTGGGAAGAGTCCAACCCAAGGGCTTCTGAAGGCACACGGTCGCCGCCACGCCCCTCACTCCTGAAGCCAGTGCATGTGGATGCCCAGAGTGTGGGAACTGGGCTCAGAGCCTGTTGGAGGCAGCCCAGAAGACCTTCCCCGAGCGTCAGCATCGCTTCCAGTGCAGAACGCAGCATTTCACCTTTGGTCTCCCAAGAGAACTGGGTGAATGGGGCTCCTCGGCCGGTGCGTGGACTCAGTGTAGACCAGGCTGTGTGACGAGGGGCTGCAGCAAGGAGGCGCTCCCTCATCAGTTTCCCTCAGCGCCTGGTCTCTGGTAGCTAAGGCTCTGGGTGGCCTTGTCCCAGAGCAAAGAAGACAATCAACGTTTCAGATGTTGCAAGCATTGAATAGAACTGGCTTTTCTTTCTCAGTCTTGGGAAGCAGAACGTTAGGCCCTGCTTGCTTTACAGCCACCTCTGCCACGGCCTGGCCTCTCCTGGGAGGCTGGGGCAGGCTTCTTTCCAATCAGAGATTTTTCTCCCCACCCCTGCTCTAGCTCTGTGATTTCCCCCCAGAAACCCCCGCAGAAGGCACATGACCTGTGCTGGACATCTTCTGAATGGCATTCAGGGCGAGAACTAGAAATGCGGAGCTCACGTGCGCTGTCGCATCTCTCGGCAAGGACTTCTCTTCCTCTTTCATTCTGCACTTTCTAATGACCCCGGCCAGTTCCACTTCTCCTTTCTGATCAGGCCGGTGGAGGCAGCAGGAGGCTGAGCCTCAGACGAGTGCCAGCACTGACTCTCGCCACACCGGGAAATTGGAGGGGCAGCCACGAAGAGATTTGAACTTCCAGAGCTTTGACCGTGGATTCCCACCAACCAGGCTCTGTCCCAGCCTCCTACCCATGACAGACATGGCTCCCTCAGGCTGGTGGGCCATTGACCCACACTCCAATACCTCCAGGGCCCAGGCAGGCACTGTAAATACATGAAGCTCACTGGATGTAGAACAATGGGGAGTGGTGGGGAGTGTGGCAAACTGAGGAGTGAGTGCTTACCTGCCTAAAGCAGGCAGCTGCCCCTTGGTTCTATCCCACGTTGCCATATCTTCCAATTTGTCAAGAAAAGCCCAAATCAGAATTTCTACAAGAAATGTCCTTATTTTTAAAACACTCTGCATATCAAACAAACTATGTGGAGCAGGTTTGCCCCTAACATTTGCAAGGCCAGGGGCAGGAGTACCAACAGAGGACGCATACCGTAAGTCTAAATATTTACACATTATAAATCAAGCTTATAAAATACCTTAGCCAGCCCTGGTGGTGTAGTGGTTAAGATTTGGTGCTCTCGCTGCCACGGCCTGGGTTCATTTCCTGGTCAGGGAACCACCACTCGTCTGTCAGTTGTCATACTATGGCGGCTGCATGTTGCTGTGATGCTGAAAGCTATGCCACTGGTATTTCAAATACCAGCAGCGTCACCCATGGTGGACAGGTTTCAGTGGAGCTTCCAGACTAAGGCAGACTAGGAAGAAGGACCTGGCCACCCACTTCTGAAAAAACTGGCCATGAAAACCCTGCGAACAGCATCAGAGCATTGTCTGCTAGAGCACACGAAGGTGAGAGAATGGCGCAGAAAGACCGGGCAGGGTTCCGCTCTGCTGTCCATGGGTCGCTAGGAGTGGGATCAACTCAACAGCACTAACAACAAAATAAAATATGTTAAACAAAAAATGTTCTTTTCTCCTACCTTGACAAATACATCTTCATAACAACCTGGAAGGCAAGGTTTGGATTTAGAATCCTTAGACGCTCGGAACTTGGCATTAGCACAGGGCGGTACAGAGAGAAACAGCCCTCAGGCTGCAGCCTGTCCTCGTCTTGTCACTCCCCTAGCTCTGTCTCAGCAGCCTTGCGTCATGTTGGTGGACACACCACCTGCAAGCCAGGGGTCCATCCCACACAGACAGCCATCCCTTGGCCACCCCTCGGGCCTAGGGGTGCACGTACCGGTTGTCTGGTCCACCCTGGAGAAGACATATCTGGGGCAGAGGGCTACGCTTCCTGGAAGCCAGCTCAGGGCCACACAGGCATGATCCTGGTGTCCTGGGTATGTGAGGCATGGTCTAACACGGGACAGAGGGCTGTGGGTAGGCATGTCCCCTGGGTCCTAAGGACTCCTTGCCCCATGGGAAGGGATGTAGCAGGACGAGGGCCAGTGCCGGTCCCTGTAATGTGGGGAGTACAGAGCTCGGTCCTCTTTTGCCTGGGTCTGAGGGTGGCACTGCAGAGGTATGCCAGTCTGTAACTCTGACCTAGGTCACCGAGGTCTCCCTGGAGAGCCCAGGCCAGGGGAAGGTTCTGTGCACCAAGGAAGGGGTGCAGGACAGTGTCATCGTCATCTGTCACTTTGACTCGAGGGGTCCTGGGGAATCTCCGTTTCACCACCTGCCGTCCTTGGTGTTGATCTCTTACTAGCAGTGTTATTCCCTGAGACAGTGTCACAGCAAATTACAGGAAGGCCAGACTTTCAGTCTGCAGGTCGAAAAGTGTGGGTGGGGAGAGACGGGTGGCAAAGTCAACTTGAAGGTCACAGGGTTGCCATCTGCTGGACCCAAACTTACCAGCAGTGTTTATTAATACCTCCAGCCAACGTCCCAGTTGTGGCTGCGGCTTCACAGTGAAGGCGCTGAGCCAGCTGGGCACCCCACTGCTTTTCGGGACAAACAGGCCGTCGCTCTCTGCTGCCCCGGCCTCCTTCTCCCTTACAGGTTTCAGGGCCCCAGAGCTGCTCAGGAATTGCAACGTGGGAAAACGGCTAGAGAACTGAGACCAGCACTAAGGTGGTAAAGACTTCATAATCTTTCGTCTCTGGCAGAGGGGACTGGCATTTTAAGAGGCACCTGGGGAGAGTGTTGCCTGACCAAAGGAATGGTGGCTAAGGGTGGCATTTCAGGCTGAGTAGCAAGTACGGAGAGGAGACTGTTAATGTATGTCCTGCCATATGGATGACCAGCTACTGCGCTGGCCTTGTGTGGGTACCTGGGGAATGGCATATGGGGCGAGAAGGGAACAGAGATGTATTCCTCCTAAAATCTTGTTTGGCAACTGCTTGATGTGTGATCTGACTTAATCCACTTCCAGGAAGATAGACTCAAAACTTGATCCTGGTGTAAAGAATCTACCAGCAGACAGAGATCAGGAGCCCCTTCTTGGAGGAATTCACTAGGAAAATTTGCACAGACACATTCCGTGGCTGCTGAGGAGGTTTGTCTGGCTCCTTCTGGAAGATTCCTGGTAAGAGACTGCTGAGCTTGTCACTGAACCTAGAAACCAAGGTTAGAAGCAGTGGCAGAGACTGACAATTGACTTCTCAAAGCCGTTCTCCCCTTTTCCTTCTCTACAGAACCCTCATTTTGTCTAGGATGGCAACGTGCCCATCTAAAAGATTACATTTCCCAGACTCCCTCGCAGCTAGGGATAGCCATGTGACACAGGCCAATGACATATAAGCAGAAATTACTGGGTAGAGCTTATAAGAAAGCTCTTTAAAAGGTGGAGCCATCTCAGTTGGCACTTTCTCCTCCTTTCTGTCTAGAAGGCAGATGCAATGTAGGAGGTAGGCAACCATTTTAGGACCATGGGACAACCACGTGTATGAAGGAGGAAAAGAGATTCTGGGTCCCTGGTAACAACACAGAAATGTGATGATACATGTTCCGGAAGGCTTGCCTCTGGGTTTCTTTTAAGTGAAAGTAGGAAAGAGTTTATTTGGTTAAGACACTATGAGTAGCACTATTATGGGCTGTTTACCAAAT